TCGTTCCGGAAGGATCTCTGCCTAAGGACACGTCCCAGGTATCAGGCTCTGCGAGTCGATAATGATCACGAGGCTAAATACGAAGGCGTTGGCTCACCTCGCGTCGCTTCTCCGTCCGCGCTTCTATGGGAAGAAACGACGTGAAATCTCTGTGATCTTCTCTCTAACATATTTGTGAGGAGTTTCATTCGATTTGGTGAAGATTCCGATCAGTATCGCGGGATACCTCAAAGTCGAATGTAAATAGTCAGTGGAAATGCCTAATCTCTTGGTGTTTTCAAACTTCATTCAGTGTCACACGATGTGTTTCGCTAGATCGTCTTCCCTACAGTTATCCGAAAAGATTCTCGGTTCACGTAATTGTAACACGTTCATGGATAAAGTCGTGAGTCGATAAAACTCTCGAAGGGTCGTCAAGGCGTTGGCTCTACTCTTGATTTTCTTTTTCGTGCGACGTGGAGGAAGTGCATAAATTCTTCATGACCTTCTTGTGGTCCTGTATTGCGTTTCAGTATAGTGATGGGAATATTCAGTTTTAAGAATATCCCCACTTTTTGTAGGAAAGAGAGAGACAGAGGAAAGAATATCGGTGAATAATATTGTATGTTAAATAATGATTATTGATACACGATTAATAATTGAAAGAATAATCTTGCTGAAACATCTAAAAATTTAGCTAGATACAGGTCTGAAAATGACATTGTTGAACAATCAAAACAATGTATAGGACTCTCAAGCTAGAATGTCAAAATTTTTTGCAACATTGCTCATTATATTTGAGATTTCTACTAATTATTAGTAATTATTTTGATTTAATAAATTTTATTCTGAAATCTGTATTTAACTAAATTTTTAGATACTTTAACACAACCGTTCTTTCTGTGTAAATATATGCCAAAATAATTTTAATATCCTAATAATCTTTGCTGAAAAATATAAAATTTTTCTGTTCTTTCTTATGCTAGAAATAAATACATCTTCAATTTAGAAAAATTGGCGATGAAATTGTTTAAATTGTGAATATACTTGATAATTGTAAATATGCTTTGAAAGAAACGCATTTGATAATTTCGTATTCCAATTTAATTAAATCGCTATAGGTAGAAACAGTTCTGATCCCGAAAGACCTTGCTATTTGGACACGTGCAAGTATCCGCTATATGAATCGATAACTATCATGATAACAATCATGAAAGGCTATCCAAGCATTAATCCTCTCTCTTGTAAAGTCCTAGGAAGGAAAGTATATGACTCATTCTACATTTCTCGAAATGGATGATTGACTTTAATCGGTGAACACGCTATGAATTCTTTTTGCTCACGCCACTCGCATTATTGCCAATTGCCTACAAAAATTCTGAGTAAATAAGAGAGGAACAGTTGCTTATCTTTATTCTAATCAACCGTATTTGATTGATGGAAACGCTTCTATTACACAGGCTAATCTTAACCCTCCGTCTGCAATCTAAGTCTTTTTTTATTAATCCAAGTTTTTTTTTTACTATTCTGTGCTTTCAAAAAATGTGGAAAAATTCAGGGTTACTTTTCAACATCTCAATTACATTATGAAATTATTATAAAGTATTTTAGTAGGAGGAAGACTGGACTACATCCTCCTTTATTTCGGAGAAAAAGAATGAAATTTTGCTTGTGCTAAAAAAAGACTCCGATTGTAGACGGAGGGTTACGAAGAGTAATAAAATTTATTTATGCGATTACGTTACGTATTTATATCACGCATATCTTATAGTACTTATAGTACTTTCTAAAATTACTTTAGATCATCGCAATAAATCTTATCTATGTTAATAGCTTAATTCTTTTATTAATATTAATATTTTATTATATTTAATTCTTTTATTAATATTCCATATATTTTAAATATTTTATATATTTCCTCTCCTACTAAGAATTTATGAATTCAACTGTCGCAAGTAGCACGTCCACTAGTCAAACGCAGCTGAACAAAATAAAAACGAGCAATTCTCTGGCTTACCTGGACACACAACGGTATGGAGATCCGGCTTCACGCGAACGGGAAGCACGAACGTGCACCCGCCATTCATGTTTAGTCACGGACGACGTGTAACCGCATCGCCACCGAAATCGATATAATGTTTAGAGAGCTCTCTTTCTCTTTCCCTCTTTCTACCTTCACACTCACGTCTACGTGGACGGTACCTACCTTTCGTGTTCCGACTTTCGTGTCGAGTGACGAGGGGACCCCCAGGCTTGACTAAGGTTTCCTACGACCGTGCCTTCATTCGATACTACGCCCATGCCGATCGTAGTTTATCGGACGAATCGCTGATGATTCAGAATTCCTCAATCTCCTCTCTACACGTCCCGATATACCGTTCTGGATCCGTTCATGCATGTCGGTTATCACGACGACGACAACGACGACGGTGGCAGTGGCGGCAGTGTTGTGATTTTTGCAGACGGCAAACACAACCGCGATTTTCCGCCGTCTCCGTCGCCCATAATTAATCCTTTGAAACCCGGTGGTCATGGGTGCACGCACCGTTTGACATTTATCCTCTCTCTAATCGCGGGTCTCTCGTCCAATTAAGCGGCATACACGCGTCGCCCGTGAATCCGCGCTTTTGCCCAGACGGAGGCCCGATGATGTAAAAAGCTTAGGTAACGACAGCCGACGGTCTAAAAATAATTTTCCGCCTTCGGCTCGGCTCCCCAGGCGCGGAAACAATGTGTCGAGTTTATCGGGTCTGGTTGGTTGTAGAGGTGGATGACCAATTAATGGAAAAAGGACTATATCTATCTAATCTATTTTATTTAACATATGATAATCCGTCTTTACATAGCATACTTTATCCGAAGGATATCTTGAGATCATCGATCCTTAGGATGTCGAGACGTCTTTTGGATATCTTCAGGATGTCCTTTGGAGTTATTTTGTACTGTACGGAGTAGCATCCACTATTCATAGAACATTGTTCATTATTAACCTTTTAAGGATATCATCATCTTGTAATTAAAGAAAAAACAATTTTTTAAAAACTATTTTTGTTAAAAAATGACTTACAATAAATGAAGAATCTATCGATATTTACACTATTAATATATATCGAGTACGCTTTCCATTGGCGGGTAAAAGTACCATATTTCAATGTTCAATACTACATACATTTTCCATCGTCTGTTCTTAAGTATAACTAATTTGCACAGATCTCGAATTTATCCCAAATTTATCCTGAATTAAATTTTAAAGTGAATATTGCAAATTCGCAACATTTATAAATTCATTACTTAGAGAATTAAAAAGCCATCGTAACAATTATTAGAAACTATTGGCATTTAAAATTATCAAGAAAATTAATATTACAACGATGAACGATTGCTGGATGTATCTTTAACGACTGGAATGATCATTCGCGTGCCATTTTTGTACTTATGTAGAATACGGTTGAAAATAACTGTCAACTATACTGATATCTCTAATAGAAATGTTTTAATCCGGCTTCAGAGGATCCAGAGGATCCAGAGGATTTCCTATCCTTTCGTGATGGATGTTGTGAGATGAGCGTTGCGAGAGCCCAGGATACTTCGGCATTGTCGAGAGCATCCCCGGAAGAAATGATGTATTGCGTAGCCGACAGGAGCGGTTCAGTAACCCTCCGGTGGCGCTACCCCTTTTATTATCCGCGACACATCTGCACAATGCCTCGCGTTGTTGACCTCCCCTCTGACGTTGACGACTACGGCCGAACGTTACGATGAATTCGTGCTCGCTATAATCGATGGCATGTCGCGAACGTATACGTCGCAAGAAACGTGAATGAAATGCAAGGAAATGAAAAAAAACTAGCCGAGCGAACGCTGCTAAAGTTATTTAACATCGAGAAATTTTAGCCTGGATGGATATGGCGAGTGGTAGCTTGCATCCTTTCTGAAGTTTGCCCGAGATGGGTTTAGTTTACCAAAGTTTAATTGATCCCCGACGTATCTCTGAAGCTGATAGATATTCATAGTGTTATAAATTAGTTTACTGAAAAATTCAATATTGCTAATATGTTAATAAAGTTGAGAACGAACTTGCAACTTATGTAAATTGAATTGGCGAAGTCTGATTTCTAAGTGATTAAGACATCTGTATGGTCAGCCGTGTTTTAAAACTCATCCTATTTATGTATTGAGCTAAAAGAAAGTTTATAATTTTAACTAATAATTTTCGAAATTACTATTCTATTTATTTCTTTGGAAACAATATTTCTTATGGATATAATTTTTTAATTGATAAATAATTTACGTTTATGTCTGACCAAAGTCAGACATATTACTACTTAAATGCGATTAGTTAAATATTTACAAAGATTTTAAATTATTTGTTATCTTAAATATGCATATATAAATATTACTATTAAATAATAAGCTACATTTTTTTTTGTAAATAATTAGTGAAAAATTGAATTATGTGTAAGAAACAGGAAAGTGGTCGCCAGTCTGACTATAACGTCAGTTATACTACTTGAAATTAGAAATTATAACACATAATATGTTACTATTAGTATAATCTTATATTAGTTTGAAAACTTGTTTATTACCTCTTATTTTATGTCATAAAACATGCAATAATAGGTTAAATTATAGCTATAAAGTATGTCGCAAATGAATTAATAATTAGAATAACAAAGAGCTGTACCCAATTATTACATTCATGAATATGTTACAATTTAGCTTTTAGTTTAGCTAATCATTATTTTTAATAAAGGTGTGAAAAGCAATATATGTATACAATATACATTATTGATTTGAAAGATGCAAATAATACCATAAATACAATAAAATATAAAATCGAGTATGTGTTTATTTTATTAAAATAGTTTTATTAAAATATAAATATCATATTGCATATCATAAATAAATAAATACTGTATAAAACTAAAAAAAATAATACTCCAAAAGTATAATTGACAAATAATTCTCTTGCATGCGAAAATAAATGGTTTACGAATTAATGGTGTTGTTTGAAATGCGCTTTTCTCACGGCTAATCGATTTGCGTCTGTTTGCAGCAATCATGCCAGGGACAAGCTGATGACTATCGATGTCTGCAATGATGTGACAATAAAGATACCTCCTTCCACTCTCTGATAACTCTGGGATTGTCTCTATTACACACAGTGCTTCCCAATAATACACAATTCAAGGATCAAACCGCGCAAAAAAAAGCAACGTCAAACCGCCGACCGTGGTCGGCGTCGTGGAAATCGGTGCCAAAAGTCGACAGAGACAAGCCGTACAAGCCAGCCCCGCGAAAGTGTGTCAAAGAGGAACCGAAGGGGGTGAAATCGTGAGAGATAGAGAAAGGGAAAAATATATAGACGCAGCGAGAAGGATCAGGCCGGATATCTTGAGGAACGGGGAGGACAGGACGGGCGGATACGTGCTAAGGCGTGTCGAGCCGGAAACACGAACGGGCATCACGAGTACAGGGTGGTGGTGACGCAGGCAGAGCGGTGGTGGTGGTGGTGGTGGTGGCGGCGGGGCAGGCAGGTGGCGGGATCTAAGCCGGAATAAGAGCAGTTAGAATGGGCAACAAGCTCTCCTGCAGTTGCGCACCCCTAATCAGATCAAAGACGTATCGTTACGAGGACAGCCCATGGCAGGCCGGTGCCAGAGGCGGGATGGGCGGCGGCGGAGGACGCAGGGGGGACACTGGCCACTTGCTCAGGTGCGGAAGCTTAAGAGACAGGAAGAGGTGCGCATACCATACCATTCAACCATTGAATCACTCTCCATTCGACCATGTTACCACTCTTTCTCTTCAATGATTACCATACACCCCTTGACTGTATGCATTATACTGACTCTCTTTCTGTCTCTATCTCCTCTTTCTTTTTTCTTCCTTCTCTCTCTATTTTTCTCTCCTTCTATCTTTTTTGCTTTGTTGTTGATATTTTTCTTAACTGCATGAGAATAAAACATGTGGGCGATGAGAATAACATTTTTTTCCATAGATAATAATTTATTAAATATATAAATTATTAAAAAAGATAGTGCTATTATTGTATTGTTACATTTGTCTGATAATTTAAGCAGTTAAAAAGTCACGCGATAAGATCGTGACATTCACACGATTGAAATTAATGAGTTTCCATTTATATAATGTACCGATGTCTCTTTTTAAGATTTTCAATTAAACATTTATTTTTCTGTCGATATAGAGAAACCTAATTACGTAGCATTAAGAAAAATTTTATTTGTTTAGAAAATAGTTTCACGAGAGCTTAATTTGAATTTTTCACATACAATTAGTATATTTTATCGCACATTGTTAAAAAACATAAATTTACTTCCGTTACATGTAATGGAAGTAAATTTCAAGCAGGTACATTAAAAATATTTAATATTTTCAATAAAAATAAAGTTATAAGTAACTTAAATTTAACGTTTTAACTTATATTACATTTCATGCAAATCTACATAAAATTTAATAAAAAATGCACTAAACTTCGTGAAATTTTATGAAAAGTACTCTAAATTTCATGTACATATACACAAATATACTTTTCAGTTGCAGATACATTAAATTTAATTTAGTGTCACAAAATTGAATTTAATTTATGTAACTTACAAGTACATTAAATTTTATGACATTTTTAACAGTGCATTATTATCCTAATGATTATTGGTTTTATTTTAACAAGCACTCTGAAGCGTTTATTAAAAAATGCAGTATACAAAGATCCGTACTTGATATATTATTTCGTAGCACAGTGAGAAGCTATATACCTTTGCAGCTGAACGTCGCATCAGACGTCGCGTTTTATTCACGTCACCCAGACTGTCTCATATTTTCTTTATTAAATTCCTTTTTTTCCAATTTTATCTCTCTCGTTGTGCTTTCTTCTCGCTGTCTTATTTGACGGTGCTTACGTCTTTGGTCCTCACCTTCCTTTTGTTTTTCTCTTTTGTTTTTTGTCCGGTTGTTCGAGCTGATAGCCCATTCATCACGGCCGATAGCTCGTTTTTCTTATTCGGATCGTGATACGCTTGATTAACTTTAAGTAATATTGGTGCAATCTCGATATATTCCCTTTTATATTCCTGAACGGGCTTTTGAGAAATAATACGCACTAAGAAAACCGCGCTTTACGTTTCGATAACAGAAGTAACTGTTCTTTTTCTGCTATTTTTGCCTTGTGCTACTAGCCTGGATTTCATTTGATGAAAAAAAATTATCCCTTGAATACTTTTTCCCTGACCATGTTGTTTTTACATTTTTATATTTCTCGTTTTTATACTTCTCAAATGCACACTTTCACACGCACGCACACACACGCACGCGCGCGCGCGAGCGCACACACACACACACACAATATAATCTACTTTTATACACTTCACCCGTACACGTACGCTTCGCATGACTATTAGTATTTTTGGTATCATTACCTTCTCGTCCACTGATTTGATGTACAAAATTCAATGGATATCGTTTCTTCGGAATTAAAAATAAATATCTGCGGATCGTGTAATTTTAATGCAGAAAAAGCTCGACGTTTACGCGGTAAATGCAGATGTAGCATGCACGTAATATATATGCGATTTTCCACCGACGCATGTGATGATTTCTATTTTATCCGTTTGAAAATAAAACGACCGACGTCATACGGAAATATTTTTATGCAATTTCAACGTAGTATCGACTATCGACGAAGATATATAGCGAAAAATCGAATACTCTGGATTATATGGACCATTCTCATGTTTCTTTTCTCATTTTTGTGTCACGCCTGCTCTACTATTTTCTTTCCTTAGAACTTTCCTTAAGTGTATCGATGTTTGAAAAATTACGTTGGCGTAATACACGATGTAATGACGAGAGTTTTTAGGCTTTGGGCCGAAGTGTTCCATGTAAACTCGAGCGGGGGTGGGAGCAAATGGCAGCAGGTGTCCGAGGATTTGGTCCCGGTGAACATCACCTGCATCCAAGACTCGCCGGAATGCGTCTTCCATATCACCGCGTACAATAGCCAGGTCGATAAGATTCTAGACGTGCGGTTGGTCCAGCCAGGTGAGCCATAATTACAACATGTATTTTAAGATACTCTAATTAAATCTCGATTCTTTATAGAAGGAAGAACAAACAACGTAAAAAAATAATTGCAAAGATGTATCTATCTTCGCAAACTGACTTTACTTTCAGAATAATATCGCGACAATTGAAGGTGGCAAGAGTTGTGGAGTTTAATACGAATAAATCTTGCAATAATTAATATGACGTAATTGTGTTTAAGGTACGCGTATCGGCCAAGCATCGGAGTGCTTTGTCTACTGGAAGGATACAGTGACAAATGACACGTGGGGGCTGAACTTTACGTCTCCCATAGACGCAAAGCAATTCAGAGAATGCTGCGTAAGTTTAGTGATGTTACACTTGAGACACGCATTTTGTTACATTATACATCATCGCCACAATCCTGTTCGCTATCACTCTCTCAGCGCGTCTCTCCGCCTATTTCCTTTCTCCTTCCCGAGTCGCGCGCAAGGAAGTTGAGACGATACTGTAGGGGTGACACACAACAAGTCCGATACAAGTCCCATTCGACTTCTTAGGTCATTTGCAGTCACTAGTTAATTTTCCATACAGTCACCATCGTTCAAGATTTCAAGGAAAGCGTCCTCTTCTTACTCGTTGAAGCTCGAGCCACCGAACAAGCAGAAGATCAAAACACGCCGAAAGCCGCTGTCGACACCGGCCTCACCGAGCCGATCCAGGGAACCTCAGTGTACCTGTATGACGCCGGAACAATATGCCCGACTGCGCAGCCAAGATACCAGATACCGAAGTCCATGCGGTACGTGCGATTATGAAATATTTTTTTATATTTATATAATTTATATATTTATATTACGTTTCCTTATATCCATTTCTATATCGTTTGGAATGAAATAATTATAAAACATTTTTTTTTTCTTTCATTATAATGTATATACTGTAAAAAATTTTTATGTAAAATTACAACGATTATATTGAATAATTTTAGGATCCACTATTAAAGATGTGTATGTGTACTTTACATATGAAAGTAAAGTTACAACTTATGTACAAATTAAATTATTCTTTTCTATAGTAATTAAACAATTTTCAAAAATAAATTTATTACAATTGAAGTTTATAAAAATATTTACATAATAATTTGTAAACAAATTACGTACAATTTTTCTTAAACTATATTATCGATATATTTAAACGTAAAATGCAAATATAATATATATGACATTAACATCATATTATACAATATTATACAAATTTACACATTTTAAAAACTATAAAATATGTTATTATTTTTGTGCAATTTTCTATTTCATATAAAGTTATATTTATATTATAATAAAATTAAATGTAAAAGTTTTATTTTTTGTAATAACGCACTTTTATATATTTTCCCTATAAATTGCGTAATTTTTGCACATATTTATGTAATTTTATATACTTGTTTTACAGTGTATATGATTTTGATAGATAGAACACCTTAATATTTTTGAAAAATTTTGTTGTGGCAAATAAATAATAGCAACATAAATTAATAGACATGATTTTATTAATTATATTATAATTTATAATTTGGCCATGCTATTTTAGGGCCGTCTACACTTCCACGGACCATAGGGCGATCCACGGAAATGGATATGACGCCGGGACGAGACAAGATAACAGCGGCCACATCCAGCGCGTCTCTCTATGACAACGTTAATAATACTAGTGCGACACCAGGGAAAACACCAAAGGCCGGCGACTCAGCCAAGCAGAAGGAGAAACAGAACGAGACATGTCAGACGACTCCGAAGACTGCCAACATTGGAATCGGAACGGTCACAGTAGGATCGCAGGCAAGCGTCAATCTCAGCATATGCATCCTCCTCATTAGTCATTACGTTTAAAATTAATAAATTTGAAATTTGTAAACAAATTAATATTATTTTCTCGTTTTCGTAAAATAATTGATCTGTTTTCTGTTCCTGTACTAGACTGCACTAGAACTTTCTTTCTCGCTTTCAAACATACACCCCTATGTCACTTTAAGTTCCAAAAGTGTACACTAGTTCAGCTACAGAAAACAAACCTAAAGTTACCTTAATTCTATGTACACTTTTTATTAAATAATTTAATATTTTAATTCAGTGATGTTAAAACAATTAAAATATTAAATTTTTTCAAAAGAATTGTATTTATTTTTTATTACCTTTTTAATAATGAAATATTATTTGACGGTATTTCGAGCAGAATGTTAATTTAACAGAAAATGTTTAACACAGTAACATAATAACTGTTATAATTTTCGTATATATATTTTTATTAATAAAAAGGTTATAGCATAGGAAAGCAAAAGGAATTTCAGGTATGCCATAATAAAAATGGCACTGAAGGTTAAATAAAGTTATTATTATTACTATTTATTATTATTATTATTTATTATTATTAAATATTTCATGAAAAAACTTCAACTATAAATCATGTCCATTATATCGAAATCAAGAAACACTATTTTGAGCTTATTAATTTGCCTATTCCACAGATCGACAGCCCAGACGAAAAATCTACGATATCGCCAAAGAAACAGAAACAAAGTCAGGACACGTCCACGCAGCAGAATGGCATCGAAATGCTAAAGTCAGAAGGCACCCAGGCCGGCGGCACTTTGCAAATTAAGTCGTTGCGCAAGGAGCAGCTCCATCACACCAAGTCGGCCGATTACACTGAGCTGGAGATGCAGAACGGCAATCTCTTCAATATTGTCAACAACAATCACGGTCATAGATCGAAGAGCAAGAGCACCGACGACATGCGAATCGAGAATGCACAGAACGGCGGCATCAGCTTGGATTCGAATACCCTGAAACGTATGCTAAAGCCGATGCCGAGTATCGACAGCCCGGTGACGTCGCCGGAGATGACGAGGAAACGTCACAGCCACCACAGTTATCACTACCATCCGAGCAATAACAATCAGAAGTACATGATGCAGGAGATTGACAACGAGAATTATGCGCATCCGTATCGCGCGCCTTACAACAACAAGTTCCAGAGTTCCAGGAGCGCCCATGACATGAGTCGGCAATACTCCGGTACGATTTCTTCTTGCCACGTATTGCTGATTTTCTGCTAATTTCTTCTCGTGATCTTTTTAGATAATTTTTAATCGTTTTAATGTCGCCCTGGCATTTAAAATTTTCATTGTACATTTGCAATTGATAAATGTCTACGATATAATAATATTTAACTATTTGGATTTAATGACTCAACGAATGTGTGTGTTATATTAATGTTTAAATATTTTGTTAGTTTCATGAAATGTGATTAATGTTTAAATATCAGTTTTACACGCTGTAATTTGTTATTTAAAATATGTTAAATTTTTTAAGTGGAGTAACGTTATCATTGTTGAGATAATTAATTAACAATTCTACAAAATTATTCGAATTAATATTAAAATTTTTAAAAAATTTAAAGAATAATTACTTATAAAATAAATTATCACGGAATCTCGGATAAAGTTCTCAACAAGGAAAATGTTTAAAAGCAATTGAAGAAGGATCGATCACGTAACTTTTTCCTAAAAATACGAAATGTCCCGTATAACTTTTTGAAAGATTATAATATAATTGTTATTTATCGTAAAATGACAAGATTTAATCGGGCGTGATTTAAAATGGCAAAAAGTAAAAAGGTGACAAAGTTCACATCGTCAATTACGTGATCGATCTTGGCACGTGGTCTCTTCTCTTGCTTGACCCCATAATACTGGCGAATGCGTAACGCTATAGGAAGTCCCTACAACTAATCGGCGACTGATCCTATGACGTCCATCAGTCCCTATAACCTTTAGTTACACCCTCGGTATAACTTAACATGCGCACAAAACGCACAATGCGGCAGCCAGCCGGCTGCACTCTAATGAAAGTCACGGGGTCACCCACCACTTCTTGAGGCACCCCCTAACATTTTGTTGCTCCTGACCTTACATAACATGCGCACTAGGAGACAACGTGGTTGTCCTGTCATCTCCACGTCGGCTTCATGGTTCATTCTTGAACCGACCGCTTCCCGGGTTACGCGTTCGCCGTTCCCGATTAACTTGACACGTCTCGCCCATTGATCAGCGCCGCACGTCTCATCACGTCCGTCGTACATCCTGCACTCTCGGTTGCACCTCTCTGCCCGCAGGCGGCAGAGGCAGGACGTACTTAGATTCGGAACGTAATCGGTGCACAGGTGACATGTCGCCGCCTTCGGATAATGTCATCTTCGACAACCAGTGCTATGCCACCACACCGAGTTCGTCGAACGGCAACTCCGACATGGAGCAGCCAAACCACTGCAACTCCCGCCGCTGCAACGGCGGCCAGACATATCAGCAGAGTATGCAGTCGGTGTCGACGCCGGGCAGCCCGACCAGCCGGCTGCTCCTTGAATACGAAATGCATCTCAGGAACACTCTCGCCAAGGGCATGGACGCAGAGAGCTATAGCCTGCGCACGTTTGAGGCTCTACTCACGCAGAGCATGGAGAACTTGGGTGAGAACTTGTTTTTATCTTTGACAGAGAAAGTCAAATGTTCAGTAATTTTTTATCAGTCACGAATTCTGGCTTAGAACGCAGCTTAATTAATATTCATAATGAAAACTAAAAGTTTAATTAATATTTGTAATAAAAGAATGCATTTTTTATTATAAAAATTGATTTTTCTCTATTTCTTTTAAAAACTATTTTTTAAATAATTATCAATCATTTAAAGTGATCGCTTTGATGTGGAATTTTGTTTAAGAAGTGCATTCCGTCGTAAAATTACTTGCATTGTAAGAGAATAAAGAACAAACGTTTTCAGCAGAAGATTTCGTAGGATTTCTTTTTAATGACTCTATATAACACATGGCATTTAAGAAATTAAATTTCAGGAGGATAATTATGTGCTATTCTAGTGATCAAGAAACATAGTCTTTTTGTGTATCCTACCGACCCGTGTTCTTTTCAAGCGAACGAATTAATTACACTTTAACTTTAACCTTTCCAGCTTTTATTAAGATGAAACTATCGAAATAATTAATTGTAAAATATTGTCACACCATGTATATAATTAAAACGAGAGTCTTTACGTTTTTCAGAATTTGCGGAAAACATACCGTTGAATGTTCAGCGCACGCCTCACGCTTCACGAAGACGTAAGTTGATCGCATGCTGAGAATTGAAAAAATACACGAGTATCGTATCCTTCGTTCGTAACCAATTATCATGATTACAGGTTCCAATTCCAACAAGTCGTCGACCCTGCCGCTGTCGTACCGCTACTGCAACGAAAGACAGAACAGCAAGGACCGAGATGGCTATTACAGTGATCGCAACGAGATGGTGAGAGAGAAGAGAGAGCGAGACCCCGATCGGGATCGCGGCTATCTCAGCGACTACAATTCTAGGTAAATTACCGCTCAAATCCATGTTAAGATCAGCATTTGCACTATAAAGGATTTCATGCTTCCGCTTAATTCATCGCGCTTTCATTCGTCTGAACAAAAACTGAACTTAACTGGATGGTACAGAAAGAATAAATCACACATCTTTTTATGCAAATATAATTGTCTAGTTGAATAAGAGAATAAGATTTCTCACGTTTAAAGTATTTTACGTGTAAAAATTATATTATAGAAGAAGAAAAAATCTTTATTATACTTACTTTAGCATTACGTGTAAAAATTATGTATAATCCTTGTCGTATAAATTCTACATCAATGAAGAAACGTATGTTCGATTTACGTAAAATAATATGAAATATGCGAAATCTTATTTTTCTCATTGATTATTCAGTAAAAATATTTTCTCTGTAATTATGGGTTCATTAAAAGCGGTGCGTTAGGTATGATTTTATAATCACTTTGATGTTACTTTATGTAGAAATCCAAACGATTCTCTACTTCTAATTACTTTTCAATTATTCTCACGAGATCGAAATTATCTTTCGAGCATTTACTGGAACTTTGTATAATCTGAATTAATCGATTCATTGACACATTTCGCCTGTCCCATTGAAATATTTCTCGTACAGTAGTACAAGTAGTACAAGATCACATTAATTAAAGCGGACGCGCGCGATAGGCCCGATAATAGCCATCATCCCTTCGATTGCCAAAGGGTGCGCATCGAAAAAGGCGCGAAAGTCGCCGTTGCGAGACTTTGACATTTAAAAGAGCTGCGCCCTGCGGCCGCTGGTGGTGGTCAATGAGACGTGCTCGTCCATTAAGGGCGACCTGGATAATATCACCGGATGTGGTATCGCCTATCGATATCCCGCGGGCGGCGCAGGGAAAAAAAAAGAATATCACGTGCGCCGTGAGGGATATCGATAGGCGACGCGCGTCGACGGGCGTCGCGTGGTGTCTATCGAGGTCTATCGAAGGTACGCCTCTCGATAGAGCGCTCTCGGCCAATATCGGCGCATGCATGCATCATCATCCCCGCCGGTTGCCGGCGCGTTGTGCATCACGGGTCAGCGACGGTGGCTGTCAGTGGCGAGCCGTACCGTGATAAATATAGAAATCCCGCGAGTGGGCTTCAGCTGGACGGTGAGAACGAAGAAGAAGGGTGTTCCGTGGTAGCACCGACGAAAGAAAGAAACGCGCGCGCGGTTGGAGATTCGCCCGCGCGCGATTTCCCTGCCGAGTGACTTCCGGTGCATCGAGTCGCGTTCGACGGACGGATCGGGGAACGGGGTTTTACAACAAGAAATTGCGCGCGTCTCGCGTCGTGTCGTCCTAGGCTGGTGCGAGATGTAATGTGGTGGTCGGAACGGTTGCGTTGTGATGCGCCGGGTGCAGTTGTTCACGTGAATCTTTGATAAATATGAGGTGCACGAAGAAACATCGCTGACGAACCGCTAATGAACTAATTGCATTTGGGTGGTAATGAATGAAAGTGCGAAATGTCAAAGGGAAGTAAATCTACGTGAATCATTGATGACAGCAGGAACACCACACGGAAATCAAATCATTTTGATATTTTTGGAAGGAAGATATCTATCTCGCTGTGTCTCTCACTGAGATTTTAAATAAAAGTTTGAAACTTGAGAGAATCAAGCGGGATAAGATGTTGTTATTTCTAATTATAGAAAGAGACAATTTTTCGACATTTATTTTTGTCACTGTGGAAAAATGACAGATGGATGTAATTTCTAAACAGAATCGAGGAGAATAATTGCCTCGCCGAGAAGAGTGCGGCTGTCAGTCGCGCGAGAACGAAAGTAATAATTACATCGGCGCTGGTGCGTTTGACCATATGCAAACAACGGCGCTTTGAAAACGATAATTATTTCGTCGTGCCGCGCGTGATTGTCGGCCGACCTGAAAAACGGAACGAGAGGAAATAATTGTTTCGCCGTTGTTCGCCACGAACGGCAAACAATCATCATTTCGACGCACCGGCGATAATCATCCCTTCGTTATCTAGTGCAAACATCGAATTAATTACAGGGCTGATCGACGTCACCGTCAGCTTGATCCATGGTGTAAATATATCCGATTTGACGTGAACGTTGCTTGACGTCAGGAGGAGTTAAGTTAAGTCGCAACAATGAGCTACAATCTGCAACGCAAATACAGATCGCTCGAGAGGCGGCGGGAGTCAAAGAAGATGCCGAAGATGCCGAAACTGCCGGAGAAGGTGTTCTATCGGATCCTGGATGACGGATCCGGGGATCAGTCGCGAAACAAAAAGCACGTCAAGTTCCAGCTGCTCGGCGAGGAGGACGACGACACGAAGACCGACGTGCTCTGTTCGGATTTCTCACCCGTACCTGCACGGTACTGCGCGTCGTCCGTGCATAGAACACGGATAACACATTTAATCCCTTGTACTTGGATATTGTTTACGCAATGATGTTCGGCAAGAAGAGCATTTACTTTTTGCCGAAATAAATTCTCTCAATAACTTTAATGTTTTTTTGAAAGCTCGACGGAACTCCCCGCTAAACATAAAGTAACGATGACATTACATTAATATTGTAATTTTCCACTCAACAATATAAATGTAATATAACCCACGTTGTACATAACAGTTACAATGTTGCATTTAGTGGGAAAAGCAGCTTTACAATTGTTGTAAAATTCTTTAGTATGATTGATCTTAATTCCTTTTGTCCTTGATTATATATTTAGATCTATGGTACGTTCGAGGAGAGGCTATTAGCGCTACTTCTGTCATTCTATCTTCGTTGTTTATTAAACGTTAAACAAAGATGGAATGACACAAATAGCGCTAATAGCGTCTCCTCGAACGCATCTCTAATGAGTTCCTCATTAGATTTAAATGTATAAAGCTCGACTACACTGTCTCTGAAAACTTTGTTTTGTTTTAAAGTCGAAAGAGGGGAAGAGAGAGAGACCAAGGGAGTTCCAAGCCTCGCTTAAAGTCAAAGTTCAATGTTAGTGCAATCAGGCCTAAGCCAATTAAGGACAAGATCACTCGCATTAAAAAATTTTACAAATTGCAAGCTGCTTTCTCTGCTGAACGCAATTATTGTTGACTAGGAAATTATAACATTTTGTGTATGTTACTGTTACTTTGTGTTTAGTGGATCGTTGTACAAATGAAATGAGATTCTGTTTCTAACTGATCTTAGCAACCGATTTATGATACTAGCAGAGGCACGAAGGGAGAGTCATAAATAAATTGTTATTCGAGCTCGGAATTTCTTACCCATAGAGCACAAACAGTAACAATATAACATATTATAGGACCGTATATGTGATAACACAAACTATAGAAATCAAAACTTTAAACGGTTTAGCTGGATCTTAAATGCTTGTATGATTCTTGTGTGAATTTATATACTACGGATGTAGTCCCCAGAAACGCGCGCCGAAATGATTTTTCGGTCTTGAAAACGCTAACTCTACTAAATTACCCCAGTAATATCACGAGTTAAATTAACTAGCAATTTAACAAATATTTGATACTTATTCGCATCTTCGAAACGATCTTAATAATGTTGAATAACATATTAAAATCTGTAAATAATTAATTCTTATTGCGAAAAATATTACCTCGGCCGGGAGTCGAACCCGGATCTCTTGCATTCCGTGCGAGTAATATTTTTCGCAATAAGAATTAATTATTTACAGATTTTAATATGTTATTCAACATTATTAAGATCGTTTCGAAGATGCGAATAATTTCAAAAATTTGTTAAATTGCTAGTCAATTTAACTCGTGATATTACTGCGGTAGTTTAGTGGAATTAGCGTTTTCAAGACCGAAAAATCATTTCGGCGCGTGTTTCTGAGGACTACATACGTAATATATAAATTCACACAAGAATCATACAAACATTTAAGATCCAGCTAGATCGTTTAAGGCTTTGATAAACAGTAACATTACATTGATATTGTAATTTCTCACTCAACAATATAAATATGAGTAACACATATTATATAGTTATATTATTGAGTAGGAAATTATAACATTAATGTAATGCTACTGTCAGTTTGTGTTCTGCGGATATATGTCAAATATTGTTACAAACAAGAAACGCAATACTGAAAAAAAATCTCGTACTTTGTTAACGTTTTACACTATTAATCTCGATTGTACAAGTCAAATATCCTTTTACGTAATTATTTTCGTATCAATTTATCAAATGATATTGTATACAGATGTTACTCGAACTTGTAAGAACTTGTGTCTATTTACGTTGTGTCGAAGCGGAGCTTCTAAATACAAATACAAGGGTTTTTTTTCGCGAAATACGACAGTTACGTGATGTACCGTATATAACCATATGATCTACATGATGCACGATACTTGCAGATGCGCCAGCTGCATCGGGGAGTCCGCGCGCGCACAATGGTTCCGGCATTCCGACGGATGGCAGTCGGGTAGCTCGACCTTCGGCTCCGGCGCTTCGAGTTCGATAAATCCAGGCTATTCGGGACACAAAAGAGAATCACCCTGGGATTCTCTACCGTCCCTGAGACACGAGGGCAGTCTCAACGACAGCGGTTACAAGTCCAACCGGACTGACTCGCTCGAGCAAAGGTGAGGGAGACAAATCCCTCACGCGTGGCCCAAGTTATTGAATCGACGGTCTTCGTGCGGGATCCTCGAAAAAATCTCAACACGAGATTCTAAAGATAGATTCTTTGATCGGATTTTACTTTTAGTTGTACGTCCGAGCAGCAACTCTCCCTCTAGCTATAAGTAATTTAAAAGAAGGATAATGCGCGCAAGAGATTTATTATTACAAGTAGAATGTAGGGAAAGATGTCCGGAAGAAATTGCGAATTTTATGGTGCAAACATGATTGGTGATTGTACGATGAACGCAGGTGTAAAATATATCTATGTAAATTTTATGATTATTTGTCATTTTTTGAAAACTTTTTTCGATTATGTATAATCGTCGGCGAAGGTGCAAGACACGTAGACTAGCTTCGCCACAGAAGAAATCATTAATAGTTATCTAAGATGTTCATAATTTTTGAACATGTTCATAATTTTAAACTGTAACATTTTTCACATCACATTTATCATATAATTCAGATTTTTATTGCATTTTAAAAATATAGAATCATCTAGTATTAATTAATTTATCAATGGCTTTTCTAAAAATGTGTGAGTACACAGTAAAAAAAAATATAAATATCTGTAGTTAAAAGTTAAAAGAGTCTTTCGGCACAATGCGTACTTGTACTTTAGTGTTCTTATAGTTGATGTTCATTCGCTACCATCTACCTTTTGTTGCCATATACTGTTCGCATTGTCTTCCATACTTTCATTGTGCTCTGCGCTTCCCTCCTGCTTTTATCGCATATCTCGACTGGTCTCTGTATTGTCGTAAAAAACGGTTTTATTAATCTTAATATTAGTATCCCTTACATTAGCACAATAGGAGCATTAGAAATATAATTTTTGCAATATACTGCAAATGTTAACAAAAATTTTTCACTCTGATCGCGCAGTAAGATACGATCCAGTTTAATATAACTCAATCGCATTTGTATCTCATCATATAAATGGGGAAACACGCTCTATATATGAAATAATTAAAAAATAGTTGCCTGTGTGTAAACGTCGGAGATTACAGCTCTCTACTTTTAATATTTCATAAAGCATAAGCTGAAAGTAAAATATGTACTGAAAGTAAAACATGCACGAGAGAGTATGGGAAATGTAGGAAAAATTTGCTACGAATTTTTAATAATTTTGTAAGAATCAAGAAATATACTTTTCAAAAATTCTTTTTTAACTGAAAGCTATCGCGAAAGAGAAAGAGAGTGTGTCTGTAATTGAATGACGTTTATCTCGTACGCTTTTGTGGCATTTGTGTCGTGGTATTCAGTTGGATGTGTTGCATATTGCAGAGGTACTTTCGACAGACAGGACAGCGTCAGATCTGATTACATGTCCGACCGAGATGGCAGATACGGAATTGTTCAACAAGCTTCATTGGAGAGCACCGACTCGAGGCTCTGCTACTTGACGTCTTCCGAAGTGAGTTATCCAAGCACTCGTTGACCTTATCAACTTGATACATCCAAGTGCCATTCGACGATGCCTTTGTAGCGCAGTTCGTATTCATGTTAAGCATGGCTATACGTGCGAGAACCTACTTGGATGTCTTGCGTTGATATTCTGCATGTCTAGAATGTAGAATCCCCGTCAGTTCCGAATAATTCTACGTATTGGCGGTAGCTACAAAGCTAGATGTCATAGATTATTAATAAAGATTGTCTCTTAATTCACTCCGGTAATCGATAATAGTCACTGTGGAGATTAATACTTAATCCCGCGCTTAAGAATCGTGGGCGTACCGTGTTAAATATTAAATCTAATTACGCGTCTACTCTAATATTAATTAAATACGAGACGGTAATGCACATCGACCGCGGAACGCGATTGTGATTATTGATTTAACTGGAACTATTGATTTTGTGAGACAATATAAAGAAGATATATATGATATACGTATATGTATGTACATATGTATGTATATGTACACGAATAAACGTTTTATAAATTGTATTATATATATATAAAACAATTTCTTGATGAAAGTAACGTATTAAACTAAAATAGACATATATATATATAATATTAACAAAAAAGTTTAATGTTTCTCGAAATAATTACATATTTTCATTTCATTCAAATTTTATTACAGTCATTTCAAATAGTAATTAAAACATAAATTAAATCATAAATTAAATATGAATATAATTGATAATAATGTCATGGTTTCCTTTACTTTCTTTATTTATATCTAACGAAAAAGTATGAAGTGTGTGTATGTGTGTGTGTCGTATGAGTTTTTATTGCTGCTTGGCTTTTTTTCATCTCTCACCCTTGTTGCATGCGCACACAACACAAAACTTTCCACAAAAGCGTATTTGCGACGTGGCGCGGATTATTCTTAAAGCCCTTTTTGTGAGAAGATTCTTTTTCTCTCGCGTTCTTACCATCCATTTGTAATTTAAAATGGAACGAAGTACCCAGCTGTACTTGCGAAAGCTCAAATCGATGAGCGATGGTGGCAACCGTTCCCGAAGGTTGTAAAACTATACTTCAAATCGTGGTAGATAAGAGCTTATTTTTGCATTAAAACAAATGCATCTTATGCATTCGATAACTAGTTCTATAATCATATTGAGACAAAAGAAATACAATTTCTGCAAATCTCTTTACGATATGATTTATAAATGAATTCTGAATATGAAATAATCTTCTCAGCAGTTCTGTAAATTATACTATATTCTCATAGACATTAATTCATTCATTAATCTTATTATCCTTTATTTAATTATAATTATATAATAAATTTTACACTGAGAAAAATTTCTGATTAAAAATGAACGAATCAGAATTTTCTGGTTAAATCTATTAAATTCTGGTTGAGATAATCGTATCTAATTATGATGACTAAAATTGTGATTGGTATGATCAGAATCTTATTGATCTCTATTTTCAACTAGAATTTTTTCCAGCGTATATATTATAATTTCCTATTAATTAAATTGTGTCTTTTTTAAGTTGTCATTGGTAGAATGTGGAAATTTATATTTAATCTTTTTATTATTATAATTTCGGATGTTTTTCATATTTCTACATTTTTACATTTGACTTTTTCTATCAATGTGACGTATTAGTACACGCAGGTACATTTCGCAAACGTTTACACAACGCCCTAGAATTACTTTCCGCTTCTAATAGTTACGAGAAATTGCGCAACTCTCTCGGACTACCTCCGGATGCACAAATTGCACTCTCGCACTGGCCACGCCTATCATGTAACGGCGTTACAAAAGAGGTCAGCGCGAATCGAGGAAACGGAAATACACGTACGTGTCGATCAATTCGCGATGTCCCATTCGTGGACAATTCGGCAGACGAAGGATCACGCGTGTCACTTCCTTCTATTTCATCCACAATCGCGCAATGGCTCTCGCGGGAGATCACCGTGCTAATGTAATTACTTGAACTTTCAACGAGTGCATTGTGCGGGCGCATGATCCGCTCTTGTGTACGAAGGGCGTTTATGTGTGACCGAGGAACATCGATAACCTACTGACCCTGTGTCTCGTTCTCGCGAGCCGCTCGAATCCATCGCTAATGCAACCCCTTACAGAGTAAGCACCCTGTCTCGTCTCGGTTGTTTTGCACCGCAAATAGAAACGTGTAGGTGTATGGGTATGGAGATATATATATGTATACACAGATAAGTGGAGGTCATGAAATGGGTGGAGTTCGTACGTGTACAGGAATCTGAACGCGTTTTACCGCGTACACATATATATGCATATACAAACACACCCCGTCGCGAACGTACATATATATATATACGTAATATGTGTGCCGCGCGATGGTGTCCATTACGAGAATCAACTGCGGAGTAATGAAGATTCTGTTAGTTATGCTTGCGCAAACGTTGACTTTTACTCAACTAATTGTCGAACAACAGTTTCTATTATGCCACTTCAGTCTACTACGTTTTCATACGGCAGTTATACGTGAAAGAATCGAAGGCCAGTATTTATAGTCCGTTCTTATTACAAGACTGTTTTAAATAGTGTCTTAAGACTTTAATACAGCTCTGTAATTACTAATTGGTTTATGACATTTTAATACAATTTTAATACTGGGAAAAATTTCTGGTTGAAAGTGGGCGAACTAGAATATTCTCTAGTTACCTCAATTAGAAATATGACAGATTCAATTAGAAAATTCTCAGAATTTTAATTAGGTAATGCAACCAGAATTTTTTATTCAGCGTACTATATATTTAAAATGTTTTAAATATAAGATTCAATTATGAATACCTAAAACAAAAGGTTTTTAATTGGATATAAATGTATGTATGTATATATATATTTAAATTTAATTATATAAATCTAATTAAACTTACAGAGTGATTAAAGTCATAAAGCTTAATACTATTGCGAGATGATACTCTTTATTATCTAAAATAATTTAAGAAACTCCATTTCTCAAGAAATTATTCAAATTTAATTATAGAAATCTAATTAAACTTAAGAGTGATTAAACTATAGAGTGATTAAAGTCGTAAGGCTTAATCCTGTTGCGAGATAATACTCTTTATTACCTGAAATAATTTAAAGGACTTCATTACAAGAAATTATTCATATTTTACGTTACGTTCCACAAGTGAGAGAAAGATTCAGAAAAGTCCTATTTCGGGAAATGTATTAGTAGCTCTCTCGAAATATAACAATCTCTCGTAAAGGTCGGGGGCTTTAGCGGCACTTTGTGCGCAAAGACACGCGTCTAAGGGTTAATAGGTCGCGCCGAGATTAGCGGGCCGAGCGAGAGTAAATAAGAATCGAGCACCTCTGCACCGTTGCACAAGTCGAGCAGCAGCTTGCGCCAACAGGTGCATGCGCAAAACGCGCGCAAATCTTTCACGACTTTGATTCTTCAGCGTCGTTTTTCGTCCTCCCGTCACGGTCGCGTTGGTGACGCAGTTGCGAATCGAAAAGATCGTAGATTGACGGGCGATGCGATCGACATTAGCACGTATCTAATTCAACCATCCGCACGTATAAATCAAACGGACCGTATTGTCCCGATACCAGAGACGATACGCTCCACTGGCGGCACCGACGTTTCTTATCGCCTTCCGCTGCGAGGAACTATGTTGTAAAATTCAATAAAACTTCACGTCGCTCGCATGCGCGCCAACCCGTTATACATAATCCGCGTAGGATTATTTTTTTTTTATACCCTTCTCCTTGATTCCCTTTACGGTGACGAAAACGAAATACACGACGGTAAACGCGAATAAAAGATCCAAGTATAGATAAAAGCCGAAGATCGGTGCATTCGGTCGTCCTTGGAGAACGTTTGATACGTCAATGCGATGAAAACATAGAAATTATGAACATTACATCTGTTCTCTTTTCTAGTTATATTTTTACTTTGCTTAAAGACGGGAATCTTACAGAAAATAATCTTATTTCAATTATGGGAAACTTAAGAGAGTATATTAAAAGGGGGATTTAATAGAGAAAAGTATCGAAATTAATTTTACAAAACTCTGAAATTTTATGATAACGATCCTTTAGAGAAAATTGCAAAGTGATAGATAAAGGCAGAATAGCATCGAATCGAAAAAGCTTCTCATATAACACCGCTTAAAAGTTTCTCGCCGCCATCCTTGACGTCCGGAAATAAATTCGTCCGAGGACGCGGCTCCAGAAAAGTAACCCAGCTGCCTCTAGAGCAGACAGCATTCAAGGAAGAAGTAGGGGAATTGACCTCCATTTATTGAGATTCGTTCGAGCTCTCGATTCTCCCTCGAATCGAATACTCGTCATTGGGACAGTGGTAACAATCATCGCGTAGCAACTTGGCTGTCAGCGTCGATCAGTGCAACGCGTCGCGTTTTCCCCCTCGCCTGTTTCTCTCCCCCGTGCATCCTCGATGATGCATACCACCCCTTTCGCTCGTACCTCGTTTCGCCTCCGAAGTGTAGCTCTCCCACCTCACATCGCGGGCACTACCACCGACATCCCAGTGCCAACCACCCTTCCCTTCCACGGCATCCCACCCCTGCTATCACAGCTTTCTCCGCTCCTCCTCGCCTCCGCTCGTTCCTGCAATCCCCCTTCGACCACCACAAGGACCGAGGTATTGATTCCCCTCGCGGTAGCAGCTCCTCTTCCCTGTTCTCCAGCGGCAGTCTGGAGCGAAACGCGTTCGCGGCTGCGGACTTGGTGACATCCGCGCGTAAGCGAGAAGGAGAAAAGGGAAAAAAAGCAAACGAGAGAGAGAGAGAGAGAGAGAGATAAAGAAAAAAAAATAAAAGAGTTCCCTACATCCCAAGAAGTGCAGCTTGTTCGCTTAAACTGATCGCGATCGGTACCAACATCGGTCGCGAGACCTAACCGTTTCCAGCGGTGACAAAAGATCTCTCCGCGCGGCGATGACGGGAGTCCTCGGTCGCGAGCTCGCATGCAAGGGGGCCCATCGATCGACGG